TATTTGCCAACAATTTATCATGATAAGGAAAAGCGAAGTAAGGTCAACCAAGGAAAGTAACCGCTCAAAGAAGTCAAACCGCATCTATAATCTGTTGTGAACTTATATTTGAGACTTCTTATGTTACACGTTGGTCTCGTAGCTTTCACTGGAGAACTTTCTTCATTTCGATTTGTACCCTCAACACTTAAATTGTGCTCCACCTAAAAATCTTGTTGTCCAGTCTCGCCGGTGAATCGCTGGGCTACAACCGAGCCACCCGGTCAGGTCAAATCTGAGGTGTCGCCTATCATCACGAACAGCCACCGTGCTGGACTCCGGGCCGAGTCTTCACGGGTAGCCAGTCATCTTATATCGATATTCCACCTTCTGCCAATTGTCTTCCTTCAACTGTGGCCAATGCCTTTTCAAGCCTGCAACAAATGCGACAAATGATCAAAAAATCGTTTATGAAAAGCAACATATTAGTCACTTTCAACTACAAATCACCTTTCAACGGGTGGGTTGAAAATTGTCTTTACAGCCTCAAAAACTTCACCAACTGGGCTAGCAGCATTAATCTGAATTGAAAATCAAACCAAAAGGAAAAAGAAAGTATGGTGAGAGCAGAAGTTTATGGATTTACATAAAGTGTGCAGAATACACAAAACATTGAGTCCTTTTTAATTTCCTTTCACCTCACCTCCCCAAAATGGCAGGACACCACTTAACAGAATATATAGATTCATTAGCACCAGACAGGTGGAGCTTCTTCCTCCCGGCGGCCCCATCGTCACTGCCTTCGGAGATTTCCAGCGAGCTCGATGCCATCTTGCTGTCGTTCTCCTCTTACTCGCTTCTCTTCTCGCTCAGGACAGACAATGTCTTGGTCAGCTACGCCACTTCCATGACCAAACAACTCCTTAATTATTCATAATAAAATTTTATCACACGACATACATCAAATTGAAATACCTGACTTCTGACTCTTTAACACATATGCCTTTTCCGTTCAACAAAATAAAATGCTTGGTTCTAGCTCGACTTGAGTAATATCGGGAGACATTTAAAATTCATCCTAAAATATCAATCAACCTAATTAAAC